TATGGGGGCTAGGGCAAAAATTGGTCCGATCCTTATACAATTTAATGTCGACAATTATGATTATATAAAATCTATTTGTGGCAAATTTCATCGTGATACTAGTGTTTATAAGTGAATTGTGGACATTGAAGTCATTTTCTGAAGGGGATTTTGTATGGGGGATAGGGTCAAATAATGTCCGATCAATATAAAAATTGACAGTGTTATTTATAATTAAATCAAACTTAGTTGTGACGATTTTTGGAGAGATAGAAGTATATTTGACAAAGTTTTGAGCTAAAAGGCCCAAGTCGGAAGGTCCGGTTATATGGGGGCTAGGGCAAAACTTGGTCCGATCCCTATAATATTTATTGTTGGGAATTATGTCTATACAAAACTCATTTTTGAAAAATTTCATCGTGATACTAGTGTTTATACGTGAATTGTGGACATTCAAGTCATTTTCTAAGGGGGACTTTGTATGGGGGCTAGGGTCAAATAATGTCCGATCTTTACGAAAATCACTAGAATTATTAAGGCGTATATAAAACTAAATTTTTCCAATTTTTGTGGAGATAGTAGATCATCTAACATAATTATGAGGTGAAAAGCCCTATTCGGGGGGTACGGTTGTATGGGGGCTAGGTGAAATAATGGACCGATTTCAACCATTTTCAATACATGGACACACAGACAGACAGACGGACGGACATAGCTTAATCGACTCAGGAAGTGATTCTGACCCGATTGGTATACTTTAAGGTGGGTGTGGGACCAATATTTTTGGGTGTTACAAACATCAGCACGAACGCATAATACCCTCCCCACTATAGTGGTGTAGGGTATAACAAATACTTTTGAAGTAAGAAAACAAAAGTAGAAACGTATTTTATGAAAAATTCATTTAGTGTGTTTGATTTAATTTAATTATACCCTACACCACTATAGTGGGGAGGGTATTATGCGTTTGTGCTGATGTTTGTAACACCCAAAAATATTGGTCCCACACCTTAAAGTATACCAATCGGGTCAGAATCACTTCCTGAGTCGATTAAGCTATGTCCGTCTGTCCGTCCGTCCGTCCGTCTGTCTGTCTGTGTGTCCATGTAAACCTTGTGCGCACTCTACAGATCGCAATTGAGATAATTTGATGAAACTTGGAACATGCACTTCTCTTGGTCCAAGGACGAACGCCATTGAAAATGGTTGAAATCGGTCCATTATTTCACCTAGCCCCCATACAACCGTACCCCCCGAATAGGGCTTTTCACCTCATAATTATGTTAGATGATCTACTATCTCCACAAAAATTGGAAAAATTTAGTTTTATATACGCCTTAATAATTCTAGTGATTTTCGTAAAGATCGGACATTATTTGACCCTAGCCCCCATACAAAGTCCCCCTTAGAAAATGACTTGAATGTCCACAATTCACGTATAAACACTAGTATCACGATGAAATTTTTCAAAAATGAGTTTTGTATAGACATAATTCCCAACAATAAATATTATAGGGATCGGACCAAGTTTTGCCCTAGCCCCCATATAACCGGACCTTCCGACTTGGGCCTTTTAGCTCAAAACTTTGTCAAATATACTTCTATCTCTCCAAAAATCGTCACAACTAAGTTTGATTTAATTATAAATAACACTGTCAATTTTTATATTGATCGGACATTATTTGACCCTATCCCCCATACAAAATCCCCTTCAGAAAATGACTTCAATGTCCACAATTCACTTATAAACACTAGTATCACGATGAAATTTGCCACAAATAGATTTTATATAATCATAATTGTCGACATTAAATTGTATAAGGATCGGACCAATTTTTGCCCTAGCCCCCATATAACCGGACCTACCGATTTGGGCCTTTTAGTTCATAACTACGACAAATATACAACAATCTTTCCAAAAATTGGCACAACTAAGTTTGATATAAGTATAAATAACACTGTCATTTTTCGCCATGATCGGAAATAAAAAGTAGCCTATTGCCAGATATACAAATATATAAACATACAAACAAACACACATTAATTTTTATATATGTATATAGATAATTCCTAATAATACATTTTATAAGGATCGGCTCAATTTCTGCCCTAGCTCCCATACATCCGGACCCTCCGATTACGGCCTTTTATCTTTTAACTGCGTATAATATACTACTATCTATCCAAAAGTCGGCACAATGTGGTGATGTTTGTAACACTCAAAAATATTTGTCCATATTAAGCTATGTCCGTCATTGTGACCGTGTAAACCTTGTGTGCACGCAACAGATCGCAATTTTGAATATAATTTGTTAAAATTTGTCACATACTATTCTCTGGATCCAATGGCGAAGGCTGTTGAAAATGATTGAAATCGGTTTTTTATTTCTCCTAGTCAGCATACAACCGTACATGAACAGAAATTATTTGGAACCTATATAAGATTAACATAAATGCTACATTATTGAAATTAACCACATTTAATATTCGCAATTGGTGTAGGGTATCATATGGTCGGCCACGCCCGACTGTAATTTCTTACTTGTTTTTGTTTTAGTTTTGCTCATGTACATTAGTATTAGTATTGTACATTATATAAACATTTGCGAAAGGTTTCGTTTGCTTTCATACTCTGCAACAAATACTGGACGAATGGTGTGAATGTTTTTAGTTTTTTCATGTGGCATTGAATTATTTCGTTGCTTGATTTATAAAGTCATATAAAAAGATATTGTCATAAAGGCAATGCAAATTTGTATTATTGTCAAGTAAAAGCAATGAATTTGATAGTGGTCAGAAAACGTGAATGGTTTTTTCTGTTCTCTGGTTTGCATCATATGGGTAACAGGCCACTCGGGATTATTGTCAAGTAAAAACAATGAATTTGAGAGTGGTCAGAAAACGTGAATGGTTTCTTTCTGTTCTCTGGTTTGCATCATATGGGTAACAGTCCACTCGGGAGTAGTCGGCAACGAAAGGGCGAATGTAATAGCTTTAAAGGGAAGGAAGCTCGAGGTAGTTGTCCTGACAAACGAAAAACCATTCGACGCAACCAAAGCTGAATTATTTAATATGGGTTAGAGAATACCACAAGGCCTCTTAGAATAATTAAATAGTGGGAAGAACTATAAAGATTCTATGGGGTAACCCTGATCAGAGCGAGACGAGAAATCTGCTTAAAATGAACAAGTCTGAAATTAGTGTGATGGTACGTACATATTCTGAGTGGACACACAAGATTACGAGCACATCTATACAAAATTGGACGTGCGGATTCAAAAGAATGTAGAGCATGTGGAGAGGACAGTGAAACTCTGGAGCACTTTGTTAGAAGTTAGATCCAAGTATCTTGGAAGTGATATTATTCGGGAAATAACATTGCTGACTAACACTGATTGGAAAATTCTTAGGAATTACGTCCAGGAAACTGTGTTTCTGAACATTGAAAAATAATACATTCAGTGATTTTTTATTTTTTTTTTCATAAAAAGAAGCGCACAACAGGCCCGATAGTGGCCTAGGTGTATTTCTTCGGATTTGATATAGTATACATCCTCCTATCAACCTAACCTAACCATGTCTTTTTGAAAAACTAATACGAAGTACAATACGATTTTTTTCACAATAAAATATAAAAACATATCAGCTGCAAAATCTTTAGTAAAAATAATTTTTCCCCTTATAAACTCTAGATCCGTTGTGGTACATGCAAGCTTTATCTTTCAAGGCTAATTTTTTTGACTTAGTTTTTCGGCGTCATGAAATAACTCCCCAAAACAAAAATGAAATAACTCCCTAAATTTGGGGACTTATTTCATTATGAAATAATTCCCCAATTTAAAAATGAAAAAAAGCCCCAACGAAATGAAATAACTTCCTAAATTAAAATGAAATAACACCCCATTTTTTGGGGATTTATTTCATATGAAACAAATCCCTAATTTTAAAATGAAATAAGTTCCTATTTAAAAATAACAAATTATGGAACAAGTCGGACATTTCTAAAAAAAGTAGGTCGCTCATACTTTCGAGTGGGGCTTCAAAGTTTAATACATTTCAGTTTAATCGCTTAATAAAGATTCCCTTAAAAGCGGGCCTGCGGCCGGGCGCAAAAACTTTCTACTCTATGTCAAACAACGGCTTCGCTTAATAAAGATTTCCTAAATAGCCAGCCTAAGGCCGAACACTTTTGATACAAGGAGAATGTATCCTTAGCGAAGCCGGTGTCCAATGTAACCTAGAGGATAAAATCCTTGCGCCCGGCCGAAGGCCGGCTATCAGACATATATTTTTTATTTCGTGTGACAAATGTAATATAATGAAATAACTCCCCAAAAATATTTTTAGGGATTTATTTCATTTTTGAATTTTGAGGAATTATTTCATAATGAAATAACTCCCCATTTTAAATGTGAAATAATGCCCTAAAAAACGAATTAAATCCCCAAATTTCGTTGTTTTTGCTTTCTGAAAAAATTTTTAGGGAGTTATTTCATTTTTGTTTTGGGGAGTTATTTCGTGGGAAGTTATTTCATGACGCCAGTTTTACAACCCAAAGAAAAATTGTGGAAGGGGAGAGAATTTTTGGGTCATACAAGCTTGGAGTATACTCTAATATTTTTACGTACTACATATTACATAATAAACAAAATTATATTCTTAAATAAGAAATTAAAAGAGAAAATAAACTAAGGTTGGAATTAATGACGTTTATTTGTAAACTCCTTTGACGGCCATTTTTTCTCAACCATTATTTTTGTAGGCGTCATGAAATAACTCCAAAAACAAAAAATTAAATAACTCAAAAAATATTTGAATTTTGAGGAATTATTTCATAATGAAATAACTCCCGATTTTAATTGTGAAACAATGCCTCAAAAAGCGAATTGAAACCACAAATTTCGTTGTTTTTGCTTTCTGAGCAAATTTTTAGGGAGTTATTTCATTCTTGTTTTGGGGAGTTATTTCATGACGCCATTTTTGTAAACAATAAATGAAAAATTAAAGAGATTTTCACTTACGTAAAAAATAACATTTGTTCAATAGCGCATCTCCATAGATATCTACATGTGACATTAGAGGAACATTTAAATCCAATTGTATGTTTTTTCTAAATAAAAGAAAATTAATTGATTATTTATTTAACGCAAATATTAATATCAAACACAAAAGGTTAATTTATCAAAATAATTTATGAAAAAATGGAACCGAATTTCCGCATGCATGATCGAGTAAAATTCATCGCTATTTTTCTCTTTTACATGATGGCATTAGATTTCGAACAAAAATTTAGTGAATTTTAGCTTAATTTCTTCGCTATTAAAATATGTTTCGATATGAACGCTTATTCGATCACGTATGCGGTAATTTGTGCGGAAAATAATTGTTCAATTCACAATCAAGTTGCAAGTTGTAGCTACAGTGATTGTGAACAGAACTTTGCGCCATAAGTTTATGTTGTCAAAGAGAAAAAAATCAAATCGAATATAGAAAGGTCCACAGATATATAAATAATGACAAAATATTAAATTAATTATACAAACGAAATAAGCTAAATTAATTTCTTTACATTTTAAGTTTAATTTCCCAGAAAGAAAAAATTGATGTCATACTTTACAAACGATATCTTAATCACATCTAAAAAATATTTCCTTTCAAATGAAAACCCAGTTAAAAGTGAGGAAGGAGATGTAAAAAAGTCGCTACAATAACACATTCGAAGTACATCAATTTTTTGTGATAAACCAACGAAATTTACATAAGCGTGTCATTGAAAGAATGTGCACAAAAAAATATGACCAATTTAAACAATCGCTTGTTTAAATTTAATTTCGACTTTTATAAATATTTTTATAATATAAATGTTTTTGTTTGAGTTATGTTTTTATGTCTGCATGTGGAATGCAACAACAAAACAACTTTTGGAATGTACAAAAATGAATTGATATAATTTTTATTTGGTTTATAACATTTAATGTATAAGTATATCAGTTTTAACAGTACAAAATAATAGTTTCAAAAAGGAGAAATAAAATTTGGAGTTTCTTACAAGTGTTGTAAGTAAAAAAGTAAATTTCTTCTTTTCAGTATTCAAATTATTTGCAGATTTGATAAACAAATTTGTTAAATTTTATATGAGAATTTCAGTAAATATTTTACTTCTTTATATTAACATATTTGATTTAAATCTAAAAATTTTTCAATAAAGATTTTTGCCGATTCTAGCAAAAAATTTGTTTGATAATTAATTTTAAATTTAACGATATTCATGTTTGTTTTAGTAAAAAATTTGTTTGAAATTGTAGTGAATTTTTAATAAATTTTTTAGCGATCAACATATTTTTTTAATTATTCCCAGCAAAAAATAATTGATGCCATACTTTAAAAACTACATATTAATCACATCTTAAAATGCGATTTAATATTTCCTTACAAATGAAAACCCAGTTAAAAGTGAGGAAAGAGATGTGGAAAAGTCATTACAAATAACATATTTGAAGTACATCAAGATTTGGCGAAAGAGTAGTGAAATCTACATAAGCGTGTCATTAAGAGAATGTGTTTTATTTTTGACATCCAAATATCGGATTTTTCTGCTTCTAAAAATAAGATTAAATGTAGTTCAAAGTTGACAAAAATGAACAACATCCCTCCAATAACACGCTAATGTAAAATTCATAGGTTTTACACCCGAATTTGAAGCACTTCGGGTTACTAGTTTTGATGAAAATACTACATCTTTTTCCACACTTTTTTTGTTGGGTTGTAAATTATTTTTTTTTTGTGTGGTTTATTTGACATCGAAATATCGGATTTTTACTGCTTCTAAAAATAAGATTATATGTAGTTCAAAGTTGTCAAAAATGAACAACATTCCTCTAATGACACTCTAAATAAAAGTAGGTAAATGGCTTCGCCTTGGGGTCTAAAAGTCACCATTAATCCCATGTACGCTAAGGGAGGTATTAGGGGTCAAAAGTTACAAAAATCGGTTTCATACAAATATCTCGCTTATTGTGATTCATTTATCAATTGAATACTCTGCAAAACTTAAATTCTTTACAACATTCCAAAAAAATATATTCACCCTATATTTAGAAAGTGCTAACTCAATCATGGGACAAAGTCAGTTTTTGATGGCAAAGGATTCCTCAATGATCCACGTCTAGTAAAAATTTCAAACCAAAAAAGTATTTTTGTTCTTTTAGTAATATGTTAATATGATATCTCAATGTTTAATTTTTATTGAAGAAAATAAGTGCTAACTTCCATAAAAATTTTACCCAATTTTTAAAACATCAAATTTATTTTAAATTAATTTTGTATATTAACAACCCAGCTAAAAAAGAACTTCCGAAGAAGCGAAAAAGAAGTAGAATTTACTCCATGGAAGTACTGAAAACGACCTGAAGAAGTGATGATTTTAACACAGGCTTGTTATTGGAGGGATGTCCTATGATTCCAAATTCACTACTTCTGAAGTCATTCTCAAGAAGTAATTTTAATGCTCTTTTTTTGGAAGTTATTCGGAAGTGAAATTGTAGTATTATAGAATACAACTAATTTAACTTAAATAATATTAACATTAATTAGGGTAATAGAAACATTTAATACAAAAGTCCAAATATAATATATTTCATCTCATAAAAATGCAGAACAAAAAATATATCTTCAACATTGAAAAAATAAAATTATTTTCGTTTCTTCGGGAATCTTTAAACATCACTTCATCGGAAGGTAAAAAATTCAATTAGTGCTACTTTTGAAGTGGTGATAAATGTTATTCTTTTGGAAGTACTTCGTTATTTTTTGCTGGAAAGATGAACACAACACAACAAAAATAAAGTGTTGAAGCGTATTTTTTTTACACACTTCTATTGTTGAGTGCTTTGTAATGCACTCGTTGAATGTTTGTAAGACATTGATTTTATTTACAAAATTAAAATCTTAAGTACTAAATATAAAAATCTTAAAACTAACTAGAACTATGATAAGACCTCATGCGACTTAATGTGCATTCAATCTTATCAAGTGAAACTTCTTATCACTTCGTGGGTATAGCACGCAAGTGATAAAAATAAATATCATAAAGGCATGTGTGACAAGACAAAGGTTGATTTTTCTTATCTTAGTATTGCACACATGCGCTGTCGCACTAAATAAAAGAATCATAAATTTAAATAATATAAAATCTATATATATATATATTAAAATGAATGTGTGTTTATTTGTTTGTGGGTTTGTTTGTGGATTTGTTTGTGGGTTTGTTTGTTTGAAGTCTAAACTGCTGGACCGATTTTCTTGAAATTTTCACAGTGCCTTCCTGTATGTCTGAAAGGAACTATAGGCTACTTTTTATTTAGAAATTTTAAGTGGGCGAAGTGCCACGCCTACATCCAAAATAATAATTAAAAGTTGCATATCTCAGAAACTGCAACAGCTAGAGTCCTCAGATTTTTTATGGACAACTTTGACATCAATATGACCATATGTGGAAAAAATGGGCGGCCTATCTATAGTGGGCGTGACACCTCCCATATAATAAAATCTTAAATTAGTATATCTGAGAAAATATAACAGTTATAGTTCTCAAAATTTTCGGAGCTACTTTATTAACAACATGAATATTTAGGACAAAAAATAGGCGGACTAGCAATAGGGGGCGAGGCACCTCCCATATGCATTAAATAAAAGAATTAGTTTATCTGAGAAACAATTAGAGCTAGAATTTTCAAATTTTGCAGGAAGAACTTTAAAATCCATGTGAACATGTGGGGGAAAAACGGGCGGACATTCTTTAAGGGGGCTTGGTACCTCCCATATGAATTAAATGCAAAAATTTGTATATCTCAGAAACTATTAGAGCTGAAATACTCAAATTTTGCACGAATAACTTTGGCATAAATGTAAATATTTGGGTAATAAATTGGTGGACTAGCAATACAAACTATTAGACAGACCTGGGATAAGTGCATTAAATATGTTAATGCATTAACAATTTTTTCAACATTAAAAAATAACATTAACATGGGTACATTTAATGCATTAAATTTGCATTAACATTAAATATTTTTGAATTTAATGCATTAATTTTACATTAACATTAAATAATCTATATATATAAAAATGAAAGTGTGTTTGTATGTATGTATGTTTGTTTGTTTGTGCTTTATAGACTGCTAAACGGCTGGACCGATTTTCCTGAAATTTTCACAGTTTCTTCCTGTATGTCTGGAAGAAACTATAGGCTATTTTTTATGTTGAAATTTCATGTGGGCGACATGCCACGCCCATATTAAGAAAATATTAAATTAGTATATCTGAGATAATATAATAGTAGAGTCTTCAAATTTTGTCGGAGCAACTTTAGTATCAATATAATTATTTAAGACAAACAGTGGGCGGATTAGCATTAGGGGGCGTGGCACCTCCCATATAAATTAAATACAAAAATTCGTTTATCTTGGAACCTATATAGTTAGAATATATAAAAATTTGCACGAGTAATTTTAACATCCATGTAAACATTTTGGGAAATAAATTGGCGGAATATCCATGAGGGGAGCAGTACCTCCCATATTAATAAAATACAAAAATTGGTTTATCTGGGAAACTAATAGAACTAAATTCTTCAAATTTTGCACTAAGAACTTAAATATTCATCTGAACATTTTGGAGAAAAAAGAGCGGACTTTCGTCATGGGGGGCTTGGAGCCCCCATATAAATTAAATAGGAAAATTATTATATCTGAGAAACTATTAGAGCTAGAATCTTCAAATTTTAATTGAAGAACTTTGACATTCATGTGAACAGAGAATAACGGGCGGACTTTCAATGGGGGGCTTGGCAACTCACATATGAATTAAATACAAAATTTCGCTTATCTGGGAAACTAATAGAACAAGATTCTTCAAATATTGCAAGAAGAACTTTATTATACATATGAACATTTTGGAGAAAAAAAGGGCGGACTTTCATCTGGGGCTGTGAGTTCCCATATGAATTAAATAGCAAAATTCGTATATCTGAGAAACTATTAGAGCTAGAATCTTCAAATTCTACATGAAGATCTTTGACATTAATGTGAACATTTAGAGAATAACGGGCGG